TGTTTTTTTGTCGCAGAAAATGCCTTTTTAGATTCTCAAGTTAGAGAAAAGTAAAATGAACAATAAAATAAGTTTAAGTGTAATTAATAATTTGTACACTTATAATAAAATAATGCCTTATAAGTCGAATTTCTGTATATATATTATTTTCAAGTGTTGTGTTGTAGTGTTTATATTTTTTGTAATGTTTATTTCGCCTGCAAACGGGCGAAATAACAAGAGTATATTATTAATATTTATAATATTTAAATTATTTTTATTATCAATTTGATATCAATATTTTTTTTACACAATAATATATGTTTAATATTATTAAATTAATGTTATAAACAGATTTATATGACGGGTGAAATAATTTACTTTTGTTATTTTTTTTGTTTATTTATTTAAAGTGTTAAATTGATCAGTGGGTCCGAGCCTCGAATAAATATAGTTTCTTAAAAAATTGTTAAAAATAAAATTTATATAAATTTTTTATTGCAATTTTTTTAAAACGTGTTTTTGACATTTTTAGGTTATGGACTTATTATTTGTTATTATATTTTTTTCTTCTAAATTCATTTCATTTAAATCGGATTTTTTTAAAACTAAAAGTATTTATTTACACAATTTTTTAACATTAATTAAACAATCTTTAATGTAAATAAATATAAATACTTTGCAGAAATTTAATTATTTTCAAAATTTTTTGTTAATTTCCAACAATTAAATTATCCTTATAAATAAAAATAATTAATTTCTTCTGAAGTATTCAACTATTTTTAAAAATTGTTATAAAATTCTTTAATGTAATAAATTTCAGTAAAATTTTAATTAAATTCCTTAAAAAAAATGAATTATTTTTAAAAGTTGTTAGTAGATTTTTTCGAAAAAATTAAAATTTAAGAAACGTTTAATTATTAAGGAGGAATGAGACACACATTAATAGATGTCAGAAATTTGAGAAATGTTAGGATTTGGTACGACAAACACGCATGCAAAATTTCATAATTTTTCACTAAATAATTTATAAGTTAGAAAATTTATAATTTAACATTGTTTCTTATGGAGAAACTGTAACCTATATTTTGAAAAAAATGATAGTTTTTCTTGACATAGTTATATGTAAACGATTAATATCTCAAGTTTAATAAACTATCAAGTTTTAGTTGCCTTGCAGATTATTTTTAGTTCAAAATGTAATAATACTAAACAAAAAACAATGTTTTGAGAATTCCTCAGCCTTGACATGGCAAAGTTGTAAAAATCAGGCGCGTGCAAAATGCGCGCCAAATTCAAATTAATAAATGGGTCAACTTTTTTCGCTGATCATTCAAAATATTAAACGTATGTTGAATATAAAAGAATTTTTTAATTTTGCATTAGTATTTTTTATTTTATTAGAAAAAACCTGCAAAATAAATCTAAGAATATTGAAAATGCAAAATATTCAGAAAAATTTTCTGTTTTCAGAAATTACGTAAACTTTTTCTCGAAATATAAACACTTTTTACATTGCAACGCACAAGGGGTAAGGATATTCATGCTTTTTCTCCCTCACTCTCATTATATCTCAGTTGCTTGCGCAGACAGCAGCGAGCTGTGGCTGTTTGTTTTCCTTCCAGCTATCTGACGTCACAAGTGAAAAAGTCTAAAGGCGCTCGCACAGCTCTACTGCGCCTGCCTGCAGGTTGTCATGGTAACACATAATAGTAAGAGATGCAGAAAATTCAAATTAAATGTTTTTTCTCTCTTACTCTCATTGCGCCTGCCTGCGCAGGCAGTAGAGGTGAGAGAGATTTTTCTAAAAAAAATTTAACTTTTTGACATTTAGACAAACGCAGATACAAAACTTTTAAATGTATTCAATTAATAATATTCTAGAATATTTTACAAATCTGTTTAGTAGTTTAGTCTCTATGTTTGTCTAAATGTCGAAAAATTTAATTTTTTTAGAAAAATCTAAATATTGAAATATTTATATTTTTCTCGAAAAAATTTATTTGACATCTAAACAAACGTGGAGCCTGAACTACTAAACAGTTTTATAAAATAACCTATAATTTTATTAATGATGTAAAAAGTATTTCAATCCCAACAAAAACATCTTTGAAGCAACAATTTCCGCCGAGTAAAAATTTTTCAAATGTCCAAATAATTAGTGAAATAAAAGTTTACCAAGTAAAATTTGTAACTGAAATTTTTGTATTTAATTGTAACAAATATAGAATTTAATTTAATTGTGAACGTAAATTTTAGATAATAACAGATGTGCAATGTAGTCACGTTTTTTAGTTTACTTTGACATTAAGAAAAAAAAATTACATGACATTGAAATAATGTAAATAATGCATATTTCAGTGTATTTTATAAAAATGGGATATATATCCGACCATATCAATATCTTCGTCACGATAATCGATATTTTAATATCGATATTAACGTTTCGATATATCGTTACCTTTATCGATAAAATTTTTAATATCTATAATTTTTGCGCTACGACCACACGATGTGTCACACGTTTTGAATTTTTTTTAAATTAAGGAATTAACTAACTATTTGAAGTACTAAATAGAAGTAATTGTAAAACTTAAATATAATAAAATATTTATAGTGTAAATAAATATTTTAACCATTTTTTTACATGTATTTTATGTGGTATAGGTTTATGTATAGGTATAGGTACTGAAGATTACAGAGGTTAAATTTAAAAATCAGATTTTACTTAAATTACATTTTTTATGTTAGTTAATTAATATAACGTTTCTTAATATTAATATAACGTTTTTTAACTTAGTTACAGAAGTTTTCAATAAAAATAAGTTATAATTTTGAGTAAAGTTATTCTGAAATCATAAATTTGTAAACTCCGATTCCACCAAAATAAAATCGGGGAAAACGTTGAAAAGTGATTTTTGTTAAAATTATGTATATGACTCGGAATGAGATAGGCGGTAATTATACCTTTTGAGTATATCTTCCAAGTAGTGAAGTTCAAAATATTTTTTACATCTATCATGTTTTTAAAAAAATTCCTGATTTTGGCTATTCTTATGAGGAGAACTGAAAAAAGTACATTTTTCGAGGTAAATTGGATTTTTTTGAAGGTGTAGAAAACAAAAACATGGTTCTTTTACTTTTGATATTGATAAACATAAGAATAAAGAATAACTCTACAAAATTACACAATTTTTCAAGTAATAATTTTGAAGTTATAAGGTGGGGAAGTAAAAATGCCCTATTTCTCGACAATCACCCATAAGCGAAATATCTATAAAAATAGTAATAATCGTTTATTTTCTTCCGTTGTTGTAATTTGTTAATGTTTTTAAATCGATTATCGGAAGAGCAGTAAATGAAACACTTGTATCACTTGTGCAACGTTTCGGTGTCTTGGTTTGACACCATCATCAGGCCACTTTATTTAAACAATGAAAATTAAAAATTAGTTTTTTACAAATAAAAATGCAAGTACAAAAAATAATTGAATAAATGAAAAATTAGATACCTAGTCATTTTTTAAAAAAAGTTTAAAAAATTGTTAAAACAAATAATTCGTTACATTTGTAACTCGTCTTAAAATTCGTCAATGAAAATAAGATATCGTTAAGACTGAACACTGCCATTTCTTGCGAGTGACAAAACAAGACTAAAATCAGAAGGAGGCAGTTCGTACACAATACACATCGAACACGTGGAGTCAATGAACTCCAACCAAAATAATAGAAATATAATCATTCTTTCAGTTTCCTTAGTAAAGGAAAATAAGTATTGCTTAGAAATTGTATATCTTCTTTCTTATTAATCGTAAAATCATTACATTTTATATATAACATTTCAGAAATTAAACGTTTTTTATAATTGGACTCTAAATCTAAAATCTTGACATTATCGAAATTGAAAGAATGATTATGTTCAGATTGATGTTCGTTAACAACTGATTCGATTTTTTTGTTTTTATGTTCTTTAATTCTCTTTTCCAAACTCCGCTTTGATTCACCAATGTAAGTCGCAGGACAATTATTACAATCAAATTTATAAACAATGCCAGTTTGATTCCATTTTTTGGTTCTGTCTTTTCCCAATTTTATAACCGAAGTTAAAGATTTATTAACCATTGGAATTGACAATAAATTATAATCTTTTAGAATATTTGACAATTTTGCATAATTGTTATTAAAAGGAATACAAATTTTTGGAATGCGACTATAAATTGTAGATTTATCGTTTTGCTTTTGGTTACTACTTAATTTTTGTTTAAATAATCTAATTTTTACATGCTTATTAACAAAATCCATTGGATAATCATTTTTAAGAAGAATCTGAACAACTTTTTCAGTATTAGATTTATGAAAAGAATCGTGTTTCATTTACTGCTCTTCCGATAATCGATTTAAAAACATTAACAAATTACAACAAATATCTATAAAAATATTATTAGTATATGCCAGAGTAGGATAAAAAATTCATATTTTTACATTTCATGTTATAAAAAGTGTAAAATGATACTATTCTATTAGGATAAAGTTATTATTAATATTATTTAGAAAATTGTATAAAAAGAAATTATAGTCTTTTAAAAAATCAGAGTTAAATAAAATAATAAAACAAAATTTCCGTCAGAAACCGAGGATTTTAACTTATAAAAAAATTGGTTTCAAAAAATTAATTAATATTTTTCTTATTTTGTTAGTATAAAAAGGATTAACTAGGAATTTGTTCTTTTCAATCATTTAAAATTTTGAAAAATAATATATGCATTTTTTTATTCAAAATCATGTTTCTAAATTGACAAATATCAATTTCAGAATTGCTTATTACAAAGCTCAAAAAATATTGAAAATACAGTTAATGTATTCTTTAAAGGTAGTAAAGTTAATAATTAAGATAAGTAAAATTTTTTCCATTTTTAGATTTTTATTTCGCTTTTAACATTTGGAAATGCTTGAATATGCATTATCTCTTTATTATGGAGTCAGCTATCAACATCAAAACATTTATATGTAAAAGGATAAACAGTTTTAAAAAGTAAGTTACAAAAAAAATATTTTAACTGCTAAGTTTTCTTTGAATAATTTATTTAATGGTGTATCTAATGGAAAATAGGAAACATGAGATATGACGTCAGGTACGAAGCACTATAGTTTTTTAGTATATAATCTTAGAAACTGAACCATTAGTTACTATTCGTTTACCTATTTTCTTTTAAAGCAGTGTGTAGAATCATCATACTTCATACACACTAACAGTTGTTTTATTCTAAAATTTGTGCATTGTTTATAGTTTGGCATTTTCAATATTCAGGTAAGAAATGTTAACATACAAATTATCAATGTTATCTTTACAAGTTCGAAATCTTATTTACAAATGATTAATTTTTTTACACACAGCCGTTGGAGATTTTTACCAGTTAATATATTATTGAGGACAGGTGGATTCAAATTATCACACAATTGCCGCCATTCCTGTTTGAAAAGACTGAAGCTCGATACAGGTAAGACATTTGGTCATTTTCGGGGTACAACAGGTATTTAATTTTTTTATATAAAGTTATATATGAAAAAGTAAGTCTGAGTTATTAAAACTTTAGAAAATAACTTTTATTCAATAAAAATTGTTCTAAAATAGTAAACAAATTGTTCATTTCATGTCCATTTCGCTTCCTCATTATAATATAATATAGCGACATACACCTCGCTCGCTAACGCTCGCTCGGTTGTCATCTTATTTATTTCTCCTTACATATATATTTATTATTACACATTATTATTATAATATTTGAAATTTTATTATTTATTGAATAGCATCTTCATTGTTAATATATACATATAAGTAGTATATGTACATATTAATATTAATTTTGTATATAATTGCATATTATTAAATTAATAATTGAGTTTTTTTGATGAATTTTAATCTAATTTTTAAGAATAATTGCAATAATTACATTTTTCGAGGAAATTGATTAAAATTGAATTAACCCGTTGACTGTCGCTGACGCATATATGCGCAAAACTAAACTGGCCAAAAGTGATTCATGACGCATATATGCGCAACTTAAAAAAGGTGATTAAAAACTTCTTAAATGTTCCTGAAACCGGTTACTCGGGGGTTTTCGAGGTCGCTGATTACGAATATGACATTCGTTTTCCAAAATTCAAAATGGCGGATCCAACATGGCGGACAACAAAATAAAAAATTGATCAGATTGACTTGAAACGTAGTACTCGGGGGTTTTTGGGGTCGCTGATTACGAATCTGACATCAGTTTTTCGAAATTCAAAATGGCGGATCCAAGATAGCGGAATTTTTTCAAAATTCGTCGAATTTGCTTGAAACTTGTTACTCGGGGGTTTTAAGGGTCGCTGATTACGAATCTAACATTAGTTTTCCAAAATTCAAAATGGCGGATCCAATATGGCGACGACAAAATAAAAAATTAATTATAATGGCTTGAAACTGAATACTCGGGGGTTTTTAGGGTCGCTGATTACGAATCTGACATTAGTTTTTCAGGGTATTTATCGAAATTTGATTTCACCAAAAATTATCATACTGATGTCAGATTAACCAGCTTCAAACCAATTCAATAAATTTTAAAAAATTTTCCGCCATATTGAACCAGATATTTTGAATTTTGAAAAACTGATTTCAGATTCGTAATCAGCGACCCTGAAAATCCCCAAGTATTCAGTTTCAAGCCAATCTGATAAATTTTTTATTTCGTTGTCCGCCATATTGGATCCGCCATATTGAATTTTGGAAAACTAATGTTAGATTCGTAAACAGCGACCCTTGAAACCCCCGAGTAACAAATTTCAAGCAAATTCGACGAATTTTGAAAAAATTTCCGCCATCTTGGATCCGCCATTTTGAATTTCGAAAAACTGATGTCAGATTCGTAATCAGCGACCTTAGAAACCTTAGGGTACCAAGTTTCATAAAAATCCATTAAACATTTTTTCAACACACTTTTGGCCCAAACAGTGGAAATCTCGTTGACAGCCAAGGGGTTAAAAATAATTGAAATTCTGCAATGAGTTTTATTATTTATAAAAATAATTAAATTATTGCAAGGATTTTATAAAAAAAGTTTTAAATAATTGATTTTTTAATAACAATTTAGATAAATTCTATTTTTAATATTTCAATTCTTATGAAAGTTTAATTCTTTTAGAAAATAATTGAATATTCTTGTAGAATTTTGTCAAAATGTTTTTAAATAATTAAATTCTTTTTGGAAATTTTATTAAAATATAATAGATATATTTGATTTGATATAATTTTGAAAACTTAAGATATATATGTAAAGATGTAAAAGGTTGTTTTTGTTGAGAATCCACATTTTTATTTTCAAATTAAAATGTTAAGCTTTTCGTCCATCGACGACAGACCTCTTCAGACATACTTTAGAAAACTGATTTACAACGCAGGAGAAAACGATTTTCATTTTTTAATCGTATTAAGCGTAAGTTGACTTTAATCCATTTTTTCATATTTCTTACAACAGCTGTACCATAAGTAATGCTAATGGTGTTGAAATAACCAACGTTGTCGAAAAAAATGGATTAAAGTCAACTTACGCTTAATACGGTTAAAAAATCAAAATCGTTTTCTCCTGCGTTGTAAATCAGTTTTCTAAAGTATGTCTGAAGAGGTCTGTCGTCGATGGACGAAAAGCTTAACATTTTAATTTGAAAATAAATGTGGATTCTCAACAAAAACAACCTTTTACATCTTTACTTAAATTAAAAAATCCAAAAAACAAATTTTTACATCTTTACTTAAGATATATATGTTCGTAAACAATAGATATTTCTATTATATTATTATTATTTTTTTTTATTATTATTGTTATTATAATTTTATTATTATTATTACATATAAAATTCAATCTTACCAACAATTAGCGACATCTATTAGATATCATTATAGTGTTTATTTTAAATTGAAGTGTTAGAATTATCATATCGACAAATAACACTAAATCTAAAACGTTAATGACATATCTAAGAATTATTATTAATTGCTGATAAAATCAAATTCTTTTATTGGAATTAAAAGTTTATATAATATTATTATTTAATTATTTAAATATAGATATATAAAATTTATTGAATATGTGCATAATTTTAATATTTTACAATGTTTGACGAATTATTTTTTTTATTTATATTGCTTTTTAATATTGACGAATTATTTATAATAGTTTTTTTTGTTGACCTGATCAAATAATAATGAATGCATTAAATTATATGTTCTATAATAAATTAAATTATAATTATTAATAATACTAAAACTCTATTATATTTTGGTAATTTAAGTTAAGAATAATACTTTACTATCTATATTATTTAATTTTTGTATTAGTAGATGTATTTTGTTTTGAAAGAAAACAAAACATTCATAGTTCATTAGTCAGTAGCAATTTTGTAACTGACACTGAATATATATATTTAATTTTGTCTACTAAAATTGTCTACTAAAATTTTTCTTCATTTGTTTATAAAAAAAAATTGTTAAAAAAATATTTTTTTAACATTCAACGACAAAAATTATCATTAGATCCCATGCCAGGATTTCAATAGTTACTTTTATTATTTCTGAATTCCTTTGCCTGTAGGTATCAATGGGTTAATGTAAAAAATGTTTTCCTTAAAGCATTTTTTCAGTTAGTAGAAAATAAATTTGACACAATAACGTTTGACTTTTGTTCCACTGAAGACCATAAAAATAAAAAATTAGAAATATAAGCCTGGATAAAGTGTGGAGGAAAAAACTTTTTACAATAAAAAAGGAAAATAATTTTTATAAAAAAGTTAAAAATATATAGTTAAACTGTTTATAATAATAATATATACGTATATGATTAATAAGTGTATTAGAGGCAAGCAGTAAAGGTCATATCATCTTTTAAAATACACTGATATAGGCGCTACTTATTGTTAGTTAGCGCAACGCACAAAAACTCGTAGCGCAAACTTCAAAAATTTTTTTCCCAAAAACATCAAAAAGCACATTTTTAAAAATTTAACCACTTATTAAGGAAGGTTTAAATTTTGAGAAAATAATTTTTTTAGGAAACTCCAGGATGTCCTTAGCATATTTTTTTAACAATAAAAAATTATTGTTTAAACAAATTATTGAAAATTTAATTTTTCTTAACTTTTTTTTAATATTATAAAAAAATGACATTTATTTATTTATTTTCAGTTTCTAATTTTTCAAATCTATATATCTTGCAAAAAAATTTTTTTTTGCAAAACTGTTTCGTACAGTTATTTAGTACCCCAAATACTACAAAATTACAAACTTTAAGAAAAATCGGTGATCAACCATTTACTTTTCGTATGGAACTGCCCTTGATATAAAAATTTAAATTTGTAGTATCAAATAAATAGTTATTTGTAGCAAATTCGAATTATTTAAGTCAAATGAATGGAATAATTGAATCTAATAAATATTGCTTTAAATCAATTAGGTCAATTACTTGATTTAGTAATGCATGGATTTTAATTCAAATAAATATTTATTTGCATCAATAAAATAATTTTTTTAAAATAACTAAATATTTATGGGATATTCCGCACGTCAACGCGGACAAAACTCTAAACAAAAATTGTTTTGATAGATTTAAACGTTCTAGGGCTTAAAAGATTTCTACATTCTAGCACTTTAAGATGGCGATGGGCGTTTTTTTGCAAAAAACGAGGTAAATTATTATGTAACTCATTCTTTAACAGTTTTTTAAGGTCCCCGAATATAAATCTAAAGTTTTTTTAAAAAAAATCTAAAATGTCGGATCCAATATGGCGGACAAAATTAAAATTATATCAGATTCGATTAAAACTTGTTACTCGAATCTACACTACCGGTCAAAATTGAGAGACCATCCATTTTCAGGTGATTGAAAAACATTTTAAAACATAAAATGTATGGAAACTAAAATATTTTGCTTTTTATTTTTTGAAAGATGATAAAATTTTGAAAAGAACAAGATCTTTTAGAAGTCATTTGGCCAATATTTTATTTAGATATTTTTAAAAAATCTTCATTTTCAATGTTTTACAAAAATTTGAATAACTTTTAAAATAATGAACGCTTTTTTAATGATCTTAAGCTTATTTTAAAGGTCATTTGCTACACTATAAGAATTACTTATAGGCATTGACGTGTAATTTTTTTCCTAGAAAATGCAGGCCGTCAAACTTGGACCAAAAAAATTCAAAAAATTTGGAACAATTTTTCTGTACTAAAAACTATTTTAGAAAATATATAAAACATTATATGGTGTAGATTTTTCAAGAAAATTTAATAAAAAATACTTTTGAATTTTAAAAATTATTTTTCTGTAAATAAGAAAGTTTCAAATTTTTTATATTTTTTTGGATCAAGTTTTTATTTTAGAAGTTATTCAAATTTTTGTAAATCATTGAAAATAGCGATTTTTTAAAAATATCTAAATGAATTATTGGCCAAACGACTTCTGAAATA